GCAAGAAATACTAGTCATCCTCGCCTCCTCACCCTGGATAATCTCTCTCCTTCTCAAAGCAAGAGCCCCCAGAAAACGGTGCTGGGAACCCCAGCTATTCAGGAAATAGGAAAGATGATTTAGAATAATGAACTACCACAATCTTGAAACAAAACATTTTATTTGATGCAAAAATTCTAAGGTACAAAAACATTTTGCAAATGTCAGTTGTGATCTACTGTCACCTATTTACAGTGTTATGTACAAATCAAATAAGACGTTAACGTTTTCAATGTAAAAATATAGCACCCTGCTACAGTCTGTCAGTGCTCACTCTTCTACCAAAGCCCACAAAGGACAAACTTAAAGAGGAAACAAAGACAATGGCAATAACCACGGTGTTCCACAGGCTTTCCCCCCAGAAGGTAGTGACAGCGAGCTTCTGCAGTGGGAAAAAAAGGAAAACCTAACAGTAAAAAGAGAAGTTATCTACTCTCTAAATGAACACATTTGGTTTTTACAAAAGTTTTTGCTCTATGGTTTTTTCTTGAGATAGAAAAAAACTTTTTAAGTAACAGATGATTACACATTAATGTAATCCAATGGTAATTTTGTGTGTAATGAATGCAGCAGCCAACTTTGTCTACATTACATACAAACAGAAGATTGCTTCTTTGAATCTTCTCAACTGAAATTTTATTTGATATAAACATAAGATATACAGTCATAATGGTTTGCTTTATCAAAATTCTGATTGTGCAAAACACAGTGCTTGGTCAATTCAGAGCCATGACTCCAGCCCTTTAGAACATGGAAAAGCTTCTTGAGGAGTCTGTGGTCCAGCTGAATTTTGGAGAGGAATCAAAGAGCAGGAGGGAAGACAAGTGACCAAAATTCCCAAGAGGCCCTCACTCAACCTCCTTACTGGTTAGCCCTTAGCTGTCTATCTCGCCAGGGGTTAAACTGAAGCCTGCCCCATTTAATAATATTGTGAGTCATGAATTAAAGGTGATGTCTAGAAATATATAAAAATAGAATCCAAAATTGGGAGGGAGGGGTAGCTGCCACTCAGAAGGTAAGAGCTGGTCTTGAAGAGCATCTTGAAGAAGCTCAGGAAAGACATTAAACAAGTCAGGAATAAGCACCAAGTAATTGGCCACAAGAGAGAAAACAACACATCTGATAAAGGACTATCACCAAGAAAAAAACCCCAAAGATGTGACAAATAATCCTCAAAATGAAGATAGGTGATATCCATTTTATAAAAGCGCCGTTATATTTTTAATTAGTAAAAGAAGTTGGGCACATACGAGTTTCCCTGTAATCCCCATCCTGAGGCTGGCCTTCACAAGGCACCCATGTGAATAAGGCACCACACTGCATTTGGGCAACTAAACTGAGTGTGAAGCTGAGAAACAGAATAGCAGTGAAAATTATTAAGCCCTTGGAAAACGAGAGCTATGAAGCACGTGAAGTAGGTGGGATTATTTATCACTGAAATAAAAACACCAGGGAGATGACTTCACTGTGGTTTTCAAATACACGGAAGGTGACCAGCTGTTCTTTTTCCACTACACACCGAACAAAAGAAGGCTGGTTTGAATTTCTATAAGAAAGACATATAAAGAACTATCTAATCAGCAGGGTAGGTTACAGAATCTCCTTCACTGAAAATCCAGAATCCCATCCACAGCCAGATGTCTGAAATAATTCAGGCGCAGCCCTGTCTGACACTGGGGGGAATATGCCAGATAATCCAAATTTTCTCCCACCCCCAAAACTCTGAAATTGGAATCAACGCTATCGGCTTACAGTCAGACTTCCTTTTGTTTATTTTTTTACCCTGAGCCTGGAAAGGAGGTGATATAACAAGGATGAGCCAACACGCCATGAGGACTCCCGACTGATACTTCAATATCAAGAAAAGCTTCTCTCAGTATACAGTTTCCCACCTCCAAACAGTCAATTCATAGATCGTTTCCAACACAAGACAATGCCAATACCTGGCTCAAGCGGACGCTCAGGGTTCCTTGCCCTACTCCCCATGTAAGTCCAGGCCTAAGCTCAGAACTGCAAACCATCTAGAAAAGGGAGGAAGCCAAGAGCTATAACTATACATAGGGTCCTTCAGGTTGTGGAGTTTAAATGAAATTGTTCCAAGTGTCATTTTTTTTTTAATTGAGAGAACACAAATCTGGTTTTGAAATTAACAACTGGCTTGCCTTTCTCTTAAGACACCGTGAAATGTAGAAGCAATCAAAACATTTCAAATACATTCACAATCAGATCAAATTTCTTTGGGAGAGCAAGCAGGAAGGAGGCAATCCCGCTACTGGCTGCATTTTTTAATTAGCATGGATGCCTTTTATGTCAAATCTTATAAAGCAGAGGTGGCAAACTGACAACTGGTGGGCCAGATCAGGTCCACCCATGTGTTCTGTTGTCAACAAGTTTTCTGTAGTAGAAATTTTTAATTTAGTTGCCAATACTAAAAAAAAAAATCAGAACTTTTCATATAAAAATCCAGCTTCTCAGCTTCTCTTGAAAAACAGGAAGATCAGGAAACACTGCATGGCCATAACTGGATAGAGCAGCTGCCCCCTGTAAGTGGAACAGGAGTGCTTCAGTTTGCCACTGTCCCCACCAGGCCCTATTGTCTCCCTGACACTGAGAAGGCACATCATAGCCAGTTATCCTCACACCTTATTTATCATTACACCTGGCCTGCTACACTGGTGCCCCCTGAAGGCATAACATCTGTTAAATAAGAGCAGCAGTCTTCACCAACAATATAAAATAGAAAAAGCTAATAACCTTCACATTAGTATTGTCCCCCTCTCTCCAACAAAGACACAAAGAGTAATTTCTCTCTCCTTAAGAGAGAGTGTTGAGGTGATTGGGGGCTGCAGGTTTTCTCTCTCTGGGAAGGAGGGTGCATCATTTCTTCTCTAGGAATAAAATAGCTTTTTTTCTTTGTTTCTTTTAAAGGAAAAGATGCTCAACTCTGAAAAAAGGAAAACTTCTGGAAATCACATAACCCCACATATTTGGAGGGACAGTTTTCTTGTTTATTTGCAGTTAAGTGAGGGAATCTGAGACTACCAGTGGTAAAAAAAAAAAAAGACCCTGTGGCTATGAAGTAGCAAGCCTAAACTGACAAACACACACACATGAACTTAAATTACTACACACTGATTCCAATGATGTCATCATTGCTAAAGACATTTTCTGAACTTCTAACCTGGGACTGTCTTCAGTTATTGCTAATGTGTCAACCAAAAGCTGTCTCATAACTTTATGGCCCCATCTCATTTTTGGCTCAAAATACTATTACCTGGCTGGGTCACCCACTTGAGTACCTGGGCCTAGACCCAAATGACTTCTGATTCTTTCTGGAGATCAATGTGCCTCAAAGGCCCAGGACTCACCCTCTAGAGGACCGTCTACCCGCTGTGTGGCTGGGCTGGGTCTGTGCAGGTGGTCCCTTTGGCTTGTAGCCAATCTCTGAAAGAATAACACACCTTACCTTGGCTTTCACCTCCCTGATCACTCTCCTGGCAAAGCTGATGGTGTCAGATGCTAAGTCCTTTCCGTAGGGTGTCAGTGAGTTAAGATAAACAACCAGCTCCCTACCTTCAACTACCTGCAGGCCTCTTGGTTACCTGGAACCCTGGACTTACCCCTGGTCTCCTGCCCAGAGGACACCATCTAACTTAGCCACACAAGCTTTTTACTCTCAGGATCAAGGCTTTTCATTGAGATCATCCTATATTCTGATTCTTGTTTCCCCAAAGTCTAAAAGCCTGTGACTTGGCAGAACCTTTATCTGAATTCCAACTTATCATTTCCACTGTCTGGGACAATGTGTGAGTCAAAAAATGCAGCTCTCCATAAAACAGATGTTTTGCCTTAATCTATAAGGCAACTATTCCCACTCCCAGCATGAGCTGGGAAGGGTAAAAAAAAAACAAGTAAAACTAATAAGGCAAAACCAGGAAGTTAGACTTTTCAGACTATTCTGAATTAGGCATTCATGCTATCGTTTCATTATCTGGCACAAGAGAGACTGATGCTGTTGAACATCACAAACATTAGTATTTCAAAATAAGCACCCAAACCCTAAGTCCAAACTAAAACGTCACCTGATTCGTGGACCAGCACACTTTTTTCCTTCCCATTTTCAAAAGTGAGTCCATTTAGCAAGCTCTCTGCTCATGCTCCTAGAGCCCAGCTGATGCTTCCCCTCCAGACCTCCACGCTGTCCCTGGGGCCACTTTCTCATTTCACTACAAAGCTGAATATCTATCCTAAAAGCAGTTCCTAATGGTTCCTTTGGGGCATGCACCATTTCTTGGCTTCAATAAGAAATCTCTCTAAAAATGTTCCAAACTGAATTTTCTTATGTTAGCAAGTTTGGACAGACCAATCTCCTTCACAGAACGAATGCCGATGATGGAACGGCAAGATAGTCACGTGTGGCAGGAGCTCTGCACTCGTCCCGAATTCTACGGTGACAACATGGAATGTCTCTTCTCCAACAAGATGCCTGGTTTTATGGGGGAGAAGGTTCTGCAGCTCACTTGTCTCTCCCTCAGAGCAGCTGCAGGAAACTTGATGCCAGAGAACAGACGAGCACGTTCTTCTCCAGAGAAGCTGGCAGCTGCCTTTACAGAGCAGGGAGTATAACATTTGCATCAAAAATACACACAAACCTCTTTTTTCCAGCAGGGGTGCAAACCTTCCCTTCCCTACCTGCCAAGCTTGTGCTGAGAAGGAAAGTCCTACACCATGCACCATCCCACCTCCCACCCCGCCTTGGGATGTTTCTCAGTGTCTCCCTTAATATCGGTCCTATTTGCTGAAGGAGCGAAAACCATGGTCCCTGGTGTGAGTGCTGAGGAAACAGGGTGCCCAATCCAAGAGCACCTATGAAAAAAGTGGAAAAAGACACTCACAACCCTTCAAGGGCATGGGGAGGAGAAGGGAACAAGTGTTTTCCCTTCAGAAACAGAAATTCTGTAGAGAAGTCATTCATAAAAATAGAACATATACTTTTCCTTTTTAAAGCAAATTCTTTCCTCCTAAGTTCTAAATACCTATTTTTGGTAGGATGGAGCACAAGAGATAAATCTTTCATTGGACAAGTACAAGAGAAACCCAAAAACATGATGCACAGCTTGGGCTGTGGGGGGAGTGCTTTAAGATTAGAGAATTTAATGATTTCAGGGCCCATGTTCTTTAGACAATACTCGAAGAGCACATTCATCCTTTGCGACAGTCCCCTCCTTTTCACCTTCTTAAAAAGAGGTCATTAGTCAAAACCAGTTCAGCAGGTAACTGGCCACTACCTCCACTCCACACACTGCCGAATTTCAGTGGATTCTGATCCCTAATATTCTGGACACAGCTTTAGACCAGAGGCCAACCAAAGCACGAACTGTAACATCCACTAACAAAGCCCTGCTGGGTATCAGTCTCTTAAAAATAAACTTCCAGGCACCGACATCTGAGACACAGCACGGTAAACGTAACCCAGGGAAACATGGCAGGCAGATCTGGCCCTCGCATGATGCCTGCTCAGACCAAGAGGTGGCCTTGGGTGCTGAGCTCTGGTGCCTTCTACGTGTTGACAACCCATCTCAGAAAGAATGGTCTAGATGGTCAGCGTGGCCCTGCAGCCCCCACCTCAGTCAGCCATGCCACCCACTAATACATAAAGAATCATTTTATGAATGGTGACCGTATATTCAGTCACCTTCTTGACCTTTGACTCAGAGGTTTTTTAATACCCACGGCATCGTAAGTTCCACACCAAAAGTGGACAGGAAGATCACCTGTAATGACGTGGATTCCAGGCAGACTGGCATTTGATTTCTGTGGCTGTTAATAGCATTAAAAGTGCTTTTTCCACGAAGCATTTCAAATCAAAGTAGCCAAGAGTGAATAGGCAAAGTTTGCACAGATAAATTAAGTCTGAATGATCAGTATATTTTCCTGTTTCTCTTTACATATTTCCTCCCTACCTCCCAGAATTGGCTCTAATCCAACGGATGACCTAACGTGACAAGCTGTTGTCAGACCTTATGCACATGCCTTTCAGGGCTCCATATGGTTTTAGAAAATTGGAAACTTTGCCAAGATATCTGGTAGAGGGCCAGGGCAAGGACAGCAAGTACTGGCCCGAATTTCACCCTGAAGATCCTTGTAGGAGACCTCAGCTCCACGTGGGCCACACAACCAGATGAGCTAGGGAACCAGAGAGAGGCTGCAGCTAAAGTGGCAATGCTTAGACTCTTCTGTTTCGTTACAAAGGGGCGACCGCATGGAGTTCACCAGTGTAGCTGCAGCAACCAGGTTCTGCTTTGCATGCCCCAGAGGCGAGGAGCTTGGAAGGAAGGGCAGGAGGGTCCTCCTCACCTAAGGAAAGAAGAGAAGGCAGAGCCGCGTCACTGCACTTCACTGGCCTTGGTGCTCAGGTCAGAACGTGGCTGGATTGGAGTTTGGACTACGGGCTTTGCACAAGTGAGGCAGGCATCCCAACCAGCTCAAGATGGGGTGCACTTATCCTGCTAACAGATTCTAGTTCCCTTGGTTAAGGGTCAAGGGTTTGCATTCATGACTCCAACTAGTCACAGGCAGAGTAAAGAGCAGCCCAAGTCAGTATCCTGCAGGGGCTCCCTGGGTAGGCAGGGCCCTCCTACAGAGTCCTCCTACTTAGAGCCTGTGCTGAGCTATGATGGAGAGAATACAGTGTCCGTGAACCCCAGGTTTAACAGATGCAGCTTTAAAGACTTCAGGAGGGTGGGGGGTGGTGAACACTACAAGTCCCTCATCCAACACCCGTGGGCCCCTATGTGTTTTTGTAATCACACATTTTTGGCCTTTAGAAAGGTGATATAACGTATATACTGTATATTACATAACATGGGCCTGGGCAGCTCACCATAATTTAATATCAGTATTTATGCAGCTCACACATGGGAACGTTCCCATTCCCTGGGATAAATTGAGACTACCAGTGGAGTTCTGTTACTTCCCATCAGGTTTCACTGCCAAGTAAGTTTGCGACAAAATGAGGAAAACTTTCATGGATTTCAGGATTACGGACAAAGGCTGTGGCCGCAGCAGAAACCCGACCCACCGGCCTTCTCGGCTCCCCTGTGCCTTACCCAGGCCTGAGGAGGACGACATGCTCTCCGTCAGCGAGGATGTTTCTGTTTGGTCCGTCGAGAGCCCCTCCATCAGGGGCAGGGACAGCTCGGACGAGGGCACGGAGGAGTCGTAGATGCCCGAGTCCCGCGGCATGTCCGAGGGGCTGCCGGCTTTCACCGTGTGCAGCAGGGGCTGCAGGACCGAGCTGCCGCTGGGGCTGGGCCCGGCCTCCGCGTCTGAGTCCAGGCCGAGCTGCTGGCCCTCCAAGTGCAAGTCGGCCGGCGCCCCGGGGATGGCTGCCTCGGCCCTGAGGCAGAAATCGCTCTCGGGTCCTGGTTTGCACAGGACGTCGTTTAAAACCAAGCCTGAGTCAAACTTCTCCAGGACTGGCTCCCGGTAGCGGAGGGGGGGAGGATGGAAGGGAACGAACTGCTTCTCAAACCAGTCGGGCTCCTCGTCAATAAATTGGTGCATGTTGCAAATGGCAACGTAAAGCGAGCGGCCCGATTTGCTCCGGAAGTAGTTCCTCCTGCTGACGCGCCCGGGGTACTGCCCCGGCTCCTGGAGGCCGTGGTCTTGGGAGTGCAGGTGGGAACAGAGCTGCGGAAGGTTGTCCATGAGTTTGTACTTGGTGCTCAGGTCCAGGATGCCGGGCACGTCTCCCTCGCAGGAATAATCGAAGTAGACAGCGATGAACTTGTTGAGCGCCGCTGCTGAGCTCTGCTTGGCCTGGCGGAGCTTCTCGGCGATGGCTGACACGGCCACCAGGAAGAGCTCCCCCTTCCCCGAGCCTCGGGCGCCACCTTTGTGCTTGTAGTTCTTCTTGTCCACGAAGTACTTCATGCCTTTGGAACACACCACGATGATGAACTGGGACTCATGGATCTTCTGAATGACCCATTCTCTCTGCCCTTCTCTGCAGAGGCTGAAGTCTTCCCACAGGTCCAGAGTGACCTGGAAAGAGAACAGGGAACCTCACTCACCTAGACAGCTTGGAGAGTCCAGTAACAAGAACAAGAACGTTACAAGAAGGTCGCATCATCAGTCCCTTACTCATTATCAGCATCACTATGTGCAGCCTCCATGTAGCCCAGGAACAGCTAACATACTGTAGGTGATGGTCACACAGCAGGCCCACTGCATCTTGGCCTCATTTTAGCATAATATGGGATCATGACCACTCCCGCCCTACAACTGAAGAGATAGAAGTACAGAGCTTCTAGCAACCTGCCTGTCACATATCACACATAAGGCCCTTAAGGGACTTAGAGTGCAGTAGTGAGCACGGAAAATGGAGGCACTGGGGTTTGTGTATCTGATGAGTGAGGCTGCCTGGATGGAGGGGCAGATCCTGGAGGGAAAGCTGGAAGGCAATGACATAAAGATGTGGGTGAGGGACCCCAAAGTGGGCTGAGAAATGGGGCTTAGGTCTGGATGCTAGAGTTGCCCAAAATGCTGGATGACTCACATCCAAATAAGTGTGACTGACAAAGAAGACTTTCCTGGCCACTCTCATAGCCCCAGTGTCACCCATACTCTTTACCAGTTGGTCAACAGCTGGAGAGGAGAGTAGTGAACTGCAGTGACACAGCCATTCTGTTAACTCACTTGGGAGTGACTGGTACCTCCCACCATGACTTCACAGTGGTCTACAGGGCTACGCCCCTACAAGGCCTTTAACCCCAAGGGGGCGTGGGCAATGACAAAAGAAAAAAACAAGGCATGCATGGCTCCCTTCCCCTTCTCAGACCATTTTCATCTGATTTTACTGAAAATGTCTCCTGGAAATTGTATCGGTCTCTTTACTTCTGTAGTTCAGAAACGAATTCCCAATGGCTATGCCTGAATGTGGCAGCTACAGTCTTTTATGCGGAAGGGGGTTCTGAAATGACTTTGTCTTCTCTTCTGCTCTAAGGTGTTACCAAAGGGAAGAAAACCCCCAACATCCACCCACTTGCTGAAAACAATCATAAATTGTCTTACATTTTCCTTAATTCTTGCTAACATTATATATTCTAAAAGCTAACTGGGAGTACATACCAAGCATTTAAAAAATGTTCCTATCTTTGACCCAGCAATTCCATTTCTACACATCTTTGGAAAATCATCAGAAATGAGGCAAAATTGAACTACTGAGCTGTTTAACAATTTGAAATAACTCAATTATGGTGAATCAATATTATGGATCATGTGGCTATTTAAAATTGCAGTGTACATAGAACTGCCAATAGTGTAAAAAGCTATTAAATGAAGAGACAGAAAAAAATCATCCAATCTACCCAAAATACAAAACTATGTGTATGAGTTCATCTATGCAGAAAAAGACTGGAAAGAAATACATCAAATACTGACTGTGGTTATTCTTTTCTCCAGGTCAAGATTACAGGCCTTTTTTTATTTGTCATCCTTTTCTAGTTTCCCAATTTTCTACAGTAAGTATTATACTCATAATTGGAAGGCTTTTTTCCCCCGAGGCTACTTACAAAGCAGAGCAAATGGGTTGTCTGTATCTGAAGACAGTGCCCCTAGCTAGAGTGTGCAGCTTCCGTCAGCAGGCTCTGGACATTCATGCATGTGTTGGGAAACCTAGCCAGCCCTGTAAGTATCTTACTGACACTAGGGGGCAGCCTCACCACATGGAGAGACGCTGAGGACCCCATCAGCCGCGAGTTTCAAAGCACAAATAACTTTCAATTACATGATACTGTACAATTCTTGCATTTGTAAGAAACAAGAGTAAGCCTTCCATGACAGCTTCAAACTTCACCCTGAAGTTAACACTGACATTACAGAAAAGCTACATATTAATAGCTAATTCAGGAGAACAGGCAAGAAACCAGAGCAGACAGTTTGAGCACTTGACTCATTATTGTTTTCCCTTCTTAGCAAAGCTCCCCCAAAGAATTGTCTAAACCACTGCTTTACTTCCCATTCTCTCTTTGACCCTCCAGTGCTTGCCAGAATGTCTTGAGTGACCATCTCCCCCTACCCCATCACATGCTCCCAGGGCAGCTGCCATTTACCCCATGCAACTGCATGGTCTTTTAAACGCTTATAAAACTTCCTGCCACTTGGGTGCTACTTAAGGCTTTTGAGCAGAAGTGTGTCAGAGTTAGAACTAAGTGTTAGGAAACATTTAGCTCGTGATGGGCAGGGCAGACTGAAAGAAGACTCCAAGGCTGACCCCAATTAGGAAGCTAGGTCCTAGTTGAGGGCCCGTGTCACAGCAGGAGGCCTGGAAGCAGGGAGAAGGTAGCGAGGAGAGAGTACAGAGCACGTGTCTCACCCAGGGTAAGAGAGGAGACTTTAAATTCCTCACCTCACAGCCGCAGAAGTCCTGGAGAAAGTAGGCAAAACACTGGATGACATTCATGTGATTCTGGCCATCTTTACTGGAATAGCAGAGGAAGACCTTCGGCCGTGGCCGGAGCCTCTCTCTGGGGAGTGCTGCGGTGTAGGTGGAGGACTCAGAACTCTCTTCATCTAAATGTGAATATATATTTTCTAAATTGGAAAAGAAGATAGGGTTGACGCCTTCGAGCAATGTTGTGTCCTGTTCCCCAAGACCTGGGACCTAATGCTCTCTTCAAGAAACAACAGGTGACATCTCCACCTAGAGCAGTCCCAGTTCCACAACTCCACCAGCCCCTTGGGCTACCGCCGGGATTGGGACAGCTCATTTCTCCAGTAGAGCAACAAGTGGCCAAAACTTATCCTTCACCTGAAATGGACCTCTTAGCAAGCCAAGAACACTGCAGAAACCACCCTCGTCAGCAGAGAGCGCAAGAACCAGCTCTCGCAACCAAGTGCACCTACTAGATGAACTAAGCATTGGCAGAACTGACCTTTTTTTAAAAAACAAAAAATGTATTGAGTTATAACTTACAAAGGTAAAGTGCATAAATCTTAAGAGTACATCTCAATACATTTTTATCTAAGTACCCACCTGTGTAACCACCACTCAGATCAAGATATGGCACATTTTCAGCTCCCCAGAAGGTTCCCTCCTGACATTAACTTTTATAAGTGATCAAGCCCTACCTATATCCTTACTCATACCTTTAGACTTCCATTATGCTCTTGAATTCACCATCCTGAGTTTGAGAACAGAATTATGCCTGTCCTTTTAGTGGCTCCTGAGGTTAAGAGTCAAGTATTTTAATTCTGGGAACTATGGTAGGCAGGGAACTGACTACAGGAGCTAGGTGGCTTCTCAGATGAACTGCCTGAAGGGACCAAGCACTCCCAGTGTCCACCTGTTGGCAGCGCCCCCCCAGTCCTGCCTGCTGTGGGGAACACACCACACAAGAGATACCTTGTTGCTTCTTGCGGCACATCACAGTGAAGAGCGTTGCGAATGCTGATATGACGACCAGCGGCACAGTGATGGCCACAGCTCTGATGGGCCCAGCCCACGGGGAATGCACTGGGAAATTTCAAAGGGAAGGCTTTTACACTTAAGCAGCATAACAGGTTCAAAGAGAAATACTGTTTTTCTTTTAAACACAAACTGCATAACAGGTTCTAAGAACCCCTTGACCACCTTTCTCTAGAACTGCTTTGGTGATTATAAAAGCATTCGTTTTAAAGGGTTGTAGAAAACAATTCAACAGTCAGAGTCTGCTGAGACAATAAATACCTTTGAGCTAGAATTTTGCCTAAGGAAACCTCCCCTCCCACCACTTTTCTTCCAAGGACAACTGACTATTATTTAGTCCCAGAGTCACACACCGCACTGGCTTTGATCTTCCAGGCGTCAACATTACGGTGGAAGGAAAGTCAGATTTGATGGAACATCATTTGAGAGAGAGGAGCTCAAGTTCTGTTGTATTTTGCTTTTGTAGACCATGAAGTACAGACAGTATCAAATACCTTGGTCTACCATAGTTCAGAGCTAATGTTTCAAACAAAAAAAAATTCTTACCTGGCTTTAAGGCATAATGCATCACTTTTCTTGTTGTATTAGTGTCATCCACCAGCTGAAAAACAGGTGGATGATGTATTATTTTTTTTAAGTGATAGCATCTCAACAGATTTCATTCATTTTTCCATCTGTGGACATTGGGGGTCGGGCTGGGGAGGAGAATTGGGCGAGGGAAAGAAGAGCTGCTGCTGCTTGCGATCATTTATGAGCCGAGACTAGACAGTAATAGTCAGATACATTTCTGCTTTACCAACTTAAAACTCTCAATTTCACCATCTTTCCTTTCATGAATCAAAAGGTTGTTTATTCACTGATGAATTCAGCTAGTGAGTTCCACTCTAACAATTTTCAATTAAAATGGCATCTTACCACTGATTTTACTGAGCCTCCATTAATGTTTTAAGAGGGTGTGTCAGTTCAAAACCACATACTACTACTGAGTAATGCAAGAAACTAGGTGTTTCTACCAAAATGTTAGGACATGTTGGTTGTCTGAATAGTGGGGCTATGGACAAATTTTTAATTTCCCTTTCTATTTTTCTTTTACTCCTATTTCTGTAATATTTTTGATACTGGAAAAGTAAACTAAAAGAAGAAGAGAAAAAAATATATAATTTACATGCTCTTTTAAGTAGTATTTAGAACTCATGTATATTCATACAGAAGAATGCCAGTAGAAACCTAGAGAAATAAAGGCAGATGTAACAAAAGGTATAACTTGTGTTTTGCTGTTTTATTACTAAAACAAAACTTTAATGCCAAAATTTTAAAAATATAACTTTGCAGTATGAAGGAATACTACATAGAAATTTTAAATCATGGTTACACAGACTTCAGTCATGTGTCACTTAACGACAGGGATACATTCTGAGAAAGGCATCATTAGGTGATTTCGTCATTGTGCGGACATGACAGAGTGTACTCACACATACCTAAATGGTATGGCCTACTACATTCCTAGGCTATATGGTACTAATCTTACGGGACCACCGATGTATATGCAGTCTGTCGTTGACCAAAACGTCGTTATGCAAAACATGACTATATATGGTTACATAAAAATATTTATTTGAAATATTTAACAGAAAAAAATCAAAGATCAATTATATACAATTTTTAAAAGCATTTTAAGGACCATGTAAAAATATAACTGTGCACACCTTCAATGTCTTGAAATTTTAGTATTTTAAACAGTTGGAATTCTACATGAACTGGATTCGTTTTCGTTCTGTAGAATCAATAATAGGGCTTTCTTGAGTTATACGTACCTCAATTATATAATCCCCTGGAGAAACATTTTGAAGGAGGCAGCTGGTTGTCTCTGTATTTTGCTCCTGCAAAGAAACAAACAACTCATTTGTTTTAAATCTTACTTCTTGGGTACAAGTCATGAAGACCCCTCTTTTCCCCCAGAGCTGAAGGAGACTTGCCACCAGTCTCCATCATGTTTTCAGAAGATGTTGAGTAGGTCAGAAAGCAGCTGTGTTTATGTGCCATGTGTTATCTGAACTTCACTTTGATAAAAGGCCCCGAAGAGCCTGGGACCCCTGTCACATTCTGTGCTTAGCTGGTGGTGCCCTCAGCAGGAATATTTGATTTGAAGACAAAGAAACTAATTAGAATACCCTTTACTTAATAAAAGGGTGGGGAAAGAAATTTACCACTTCATGTCTGTGCATATTTTATTTGCCATAATTTTAACTTGAGCAGAAGGTCTAAGAAGCTCAATGACAGAGATAAGAGTCAGCAGGAAAGCAAACCCTCCCCCCAACAGGAGAATGTCTAGGGCACTCAAGGGCACTCAGTTCTGTTACCACAACCAAAACCCTCTTGGTGCTCGTGTGGAGCGATCTAGCAGTCCTGTGAACTTTCACAAAACGGTTCCCACTCCCTCTGACCACTTCCAGTTTAAGAACTTATTACTGAGTTTCTACTTAACCTTGACCTATGTATAAAATCAGTAGCCACTGAAATGCTAGTGGCTTGGCTCCCAGATGTGGTTTTTCTGCTTACTGACTGCATGACTTTGAGCAAGCCAGTGACCTTCCTGAGCCTCAAGTTCCCCATCTGTAAAGTGGAGATGACAGCAGCCTCTGTGTCACAGGGTTGTTAGGATTCAATGAGCCTAAAGCTTGGTGACCAGCACACAGTGAGCACCTGACTTATGTTTAAAATATAGAAGAATACACTAGAAATACTTAATTATTTTGATTTCTTGGTAATAGATTTACCAGGCTATATATCACCACAGGACAGCTGGGGCATAGATACCTGTGAAGTGAGGATGACAGTATGATGGCCCTGAGACATACCCAGAGATAACATTCTGGAATATCTAACAACCGCTGAGTCAACAAAGCCTAACGTTCACGTTGAGCCATCCCAATTCCAGGGGCCCAGGGGTCACTTTAAAACGTGTAGCGTTCCTTTATGTACACTTAGCCACTCACCTGTTTACAGGTCTTTCGCTTGAAGGGTCCTTCGTGCTTGAGCTTGTAATGAAGATAGAAGAAACGGAAGCCAAAGGTGTGTGGCGCGTGGTCGAAGGACACCTGCACGTCCGAACCATGCTGGGTGATGTTCAGGTTCCGAGGCTTCCAGACTGGGAGGAGGGAGGACTGGAGTGAGCACCCCGAGGCCGCCCCGACACCACCAGGGTGGCCACACTCGGTCTTGACAGACAAGAACAGCTATACTTACAGGGTTTACAGGCCAGGTTGTCCGGCTGTAACAACAGGTCACAGGCTATTAAGAAAGATGTATATTTTTAGTTTTAGGACAGTTTGACATTTTCCTCGTTCAATAATTCAATAAAATATAAATACGGCACTGGGTGCTGCTAGGAAGAGTATAAAATACATCAATTCAACAATGATTTTCAGTACAGCGCAGTTGTATCTTATGAAAATTTATATTGTCCAATATAAAAATACTAATGTAGTCCACTTTATGCCAAATAAATGGAAACAGTGTAAAGTCAGATTTTAAAAGCTTGTCAAGTTTCAAGGCTGGCAGCCAAGGGCAGCAGGACTGTGTTCATGCTACTAGTGCCTCATGAAGGCTCTGTTTTAGCTGTAAACAGAAATAATGCCAGCCCCTGCCCCATTTTGGGGGTGTTTAGGCACAAGAGAACTTCAGAGTGACCCTGGTAACTGTCTCGGGTTATTTTAACCTTCACTAGCATTCTAATTTAAAATTCTTTTAATGGAATCTGAAAATGACATCCAGGCCTCTAGTAAGTAGTAGCACCAGAGCTGAAAACCAGGCACCAAAGCCAGGAGCTTTGCAACGGGATTTACATGTGATAAAAACACAATGAGAGAGGCCAAACAGCGAGTCCAATATGCCATGCTGCTAACCCAGGGAGAACCCTCTGGAAAATGTCCATACAATGCCAAGAAAAGGAAAGGCAGCACCAAGGGCACAGTGCGCCGAAATGGTGCTACACGCATCTCCTGCCTCTGCCTCATCCCCAGATAAACACATGGATTCCGATGGGAAAAATTAATCTTAAATTATGCTAGTTTTGATTTAGGCAAGCTTTTCTTAAACACATTCTTTGAACCCTCTATCTGGTTGTTATGTGTAAGGCATCAAGAGATATAAAATGCACACGGTCTTTGCCCTATGGCATCTTATTTTAATTAAGAAAATGAGACCAATTGTGATAAAATAATTTTGCTGCATAGAAAACTGCAGTTTAAAAAAGAAAAGAAAAGAAAGACAAAAAGAAAACAACCAGAGTAAGAATTCTGCAAAGAGAAACATTAATATGGGCTGGAGTTGAGAACAAAACCATCATAGAGGTTGAGGATGGCACCAGACCACATAGGAGGGATGTGGGATTGGACTGACAGCTGACCATCCAAGGCCTATAATGCCAGATAGAAAGACTGACCAGGAAGGCAGGAGGGTACCACTGCAGGTTTCAGGGTCCCTGGGCACCAAATTTGAAAGTAGCGATTCAGGTTGATGAAGGACACACCACACTGTGTGCAGAATAGATGGAAAAGGAGAGCCAGATGGAAAAGGAAACCCAGTATAGTTGGTGGTTTGAGAGTGTGGACTCCAGAGTCAGACTTCTGCAGTTCAAATCCCAGCTCCCAGCAGGCTCTTTAACCTCTCTGTGTGTGATTCCACATCTAATAAGCAGGGATGGTAAGATTAAATTCTTTGTAGGGTTGTTATGGGGGTAAACTGAGTTAATATTTAGAAAGCATTAGAACAGGGCCTGGCACATAGATGTTAAATAAGTAAGTAAACTTTCTAGAAAGAGGGAATCTCAGGGATACTGCCTAATTTTCTTAATTGAATCCTGAAAATGACAGGCTCATTCACAGAGGCCACCCTCTTGATGACTGGATGAAGACAGAATCATTTCATCCTCCAAAATCAACTTATACTTTTTATTGCTGTTTTTTTTTTTAATCAAATGGTTTTAATACACAGCTGTCTTACAGCACCTTCAAAAAAAAAAAAAATCTGGGCTGGCCCCATGGCATAGTGGTTAAGTTCGGCACACTCCGCTTCAGCGGCCCGAGTTCATGGGTTTGGATCCTGGGCGCGGACCTATACCACTTGTCAGCCATGCTGTTGCGATGACCCACATACAAAATAGAGGAGGATTGGCACAGATGTTAGCTCAGGGCAAATCTTCCTCAGCAAAAAAAAAAAAAAAAATCAATCATGATGTCTACTCTAGAACAAGCCAGAAATGGATGTCTCTGGTTAGATGAACACCACCTGGGCCAAATCTTAATTCTAAAAATTGCTTTTCTGGATGCTTTTCTCCTCATCATGCTGGTTTCATACCAGTATTTGGTGTGATCTTGAACACATCTCTGCAAAAAAGTCATTAAAAGCAGGAGAAGTCTCCTCAGGGGAACCAGGTAAGAAAGACCATACTCACCGCGGGTTCTGAAGAAGAAAGGGTGATAATTGCTTTCATTTTTAACGGAAGGAAAAGGGACAATCTTTACAAAGTAATCCGTTTCAAATTTCATATTCAGGAAAGGCTGAGATTCCATTCCCTAAAAGGGAACAAAAACACACGTGACGTCATGGAGAAATTACCCAGCCCTCCACCTACACGCAAGAGCTCCAGTCACAGATACAGTTCCAGAGCTGAGAGTCACCCAGACACAGTTCCTAAGCTGGGGGACGTGCCCTGGGGGAGGAGGAAGTGAAGTCTATTTTCTGGACCAAGTTCAGGTTTGGATCCCTAACTGAAATGAAGATCGACCATGCTGTCTGTTCTTTGGCAAGGAAGCCATGGCTTCTTAACAGTGAATCTCAAAGTTGGTGGGCTGAGCCCACATACATTCTTGAGAGCACAAAGCCACCTTCCAGGACGTGTAACCTGAGAGGTGTGTTTACCAGCGAGAGGTGCTGGAGAGCTTCTCTGGGAGCTGGGAGCAGGCTCGCAGTGTTGCTGAGCCCTTCTCGCTCACCTTGGCAGGCGGAGTGGACCCCACAGCCCCTCCTTCTCCAGTTTCACAGCCTTTCAATAGACCATTCAGACCCCCGGAACAACGGTGTGTCTTCAGGAGCACACTCCCGCGTGTGACTTACAGTTCTTTTGAAGCTACTGTTGAGCTGCTTCGGGTCCTTTAGAATCAGTTGTTGGCACTGTCTGCCCTCTGACTTCAGCTCCTCCAGTATTACCCGAAATCCCTTTAGGAATTCGATGCCTAAGCAAAGCAGAATGCTTTTATTAAAAGCAGACCTAATTACTTTTGAACACACTTTCCTTCCTCCAAGATTACCGTCCTCTCCACCTACACAACAGAGTTAAAGGAATTCTTACTCTGACCAGAATATCTGAGTTTAGTGAAAGGAAAAAAGCACACCCTGCATTCCTCTGGTACAGGTCAGGTGATTTTCTCTGTCCCACAATTACTAATTAATTAATCTCTAATCCAGCCAGCCATTTCACAAATACCCATTGCTTCTGTGACATTAGGGTTCAAATATTTAGACTCAAGTCACAATTGATCATCAGTGTCTGTAGTGGAATACATAATTTCTAGATCATTAAACAGGGTGTATTCAGCTGACAATAATTCCCAATGCTGACTAGAGACTGCCCCCAAACCATATCTACACTTTAAGTTTTATTCCTATATTTGCTGACATCTTTCACTGAGCAACGTACAAAATTCCCAACAAAGAGTGTGTCTGCACCCAAGGGGTTCCTAGGCTTGAGATTAAACATCTTAGGAGAATGCCTATGTGATTTACAAAGCGGTTCTTGCTCTAATCATGCCTGAAAGGCAGACACCCAAGAGCTGCCCAGTGTGTGCTCTTCATACAGCACTCGGAGGCCCCAAGACGCCCACGGTGCTGCTGAAAGGCGCCAGCCCAGCCTCCCGCCACCTGAGCCTCCCCCGCTGCACCTCCGACTAGATGCTTTCAAAAGGATTAAGCTCTGATGGCCACAAGAGCCAATACCGGGGCCCTGTATCCCATGGAGACTGGAATGGTCCAACTGCAGCTGGAGATCCCCAGAGCCAGCCTCAACTGGCGTGATATCGATTTCACATTCTTTCTGAACACTAGACAAGGAGACATTTTCAACCCTTCCCCTCCCAGGGCAAAAGTAATTACACAAGATGCAATTAACCAGGTGGGAAAATTATTGATGGCAAAGACCAGGGAAATCTTTTTCTCTTTTGAATAGGTTCTCCAATCCTATAATTATTTGATGAAGAACACGTATTTTATGGTGAGTAGGGCAACGGAGCTACAATTAGAGCTTCACGTGTTAGGGGTCAGAGTACAGAGTATGCAGATACCGACTCTGCCACGCTGTATTTCAAGTACAAAGCTTCCTGTGGGGGTGAGAGCCAGCTGACCCACAGCCAGAGATTCAGACGTGCTGACAAGATCCAAGGTCTCTGACCAGCAACTATTTAGTAGATCTCACAGGAACTTGCCTTTTGAGATTAAAAAAAAAAAAAAGATTTTTGAACAAATCCTTATTATTTATACTAAGATTTAATTTATGCAATGTTCCCAGCACTGCTGTTTAACAAAAGCCAAGTGATTAATATGATTAAAGACTATACATCTCACAATTACATAAAAATTTATCAGCTGAGGTAGGAGAGGGTGGTTCTAGTTCTTTTTAAAACCTGCCTGAAACCACTACCAAGTCTGGGGTTGGAGGTAGTGGCAGTAAATGTAACTCTTATATCATAATAACACCTGTATCACAATACCATTAATACCTTGCAGTTATATAATGTTTAGCAATTTTATAGGGCAGCTTCCCGTAAAGGAACCTATTTACTCCTTCCTATCATTTAACTCATTAAATCTGCCTAACATCCATAGGAGGAAGGAATTAATCCCCATTTCACAGATGAGGAAACTGAGGTGTAAAGACACTAAAAGACTTGCCCAGGGTCACAGTGGAATTAAATGGCAGAGGTGGGATTCAAACCCAGAGTGCTCTTAACCCATATGCTTTTCTGTCTCCCAAGCAGTTTCCTTGATGGAACCTCACAGAAACTGATAGAACCTGTCCAGCCATCCCCACCCAGAAATAATCATGCAGGAACGGCACAACCTTCTGCCCTCACTGTCCCATGAGTTAGTTCTCCTACCACCAGCTCACATCTACTTGCATTCTAAAGAGGGAGCCTGTTAAGGCCAATCCCTTAACCATTTAGCCTTATGTGGAATAACTACTTCCCTTTCATCCACAGAGAATGTTTTTATCTTTAAATGTTAAGATAATGTTATTTTTGGAAAAGCCACTGGGTTCAGACCCAGCAGTATTTACATGGATAAGTGAGTTAGGCTCGTGGGTCTGATCCATCTTCCCTCTCTCTGCACTCACTTCTCCTGCAATCTGATTCTTCCAAGATTTATCCCATTTAGATTAAGAAATTCAGACTTTATTTTACTTTTCCCTTGGCCAGATTTTTAAAAAATTCTAAGACTGGGTGGCAATGTCAAAGGAGCCGGCCTGAGGACCAGGTTCTAATGATGGTAATAATAGCCACTGTTTTTAAGAGCTCTCTCTAGAAATGTACTGTGTGTGTCTCTAATTCTTACAACAAACCAAGAGGCATTGTTTTGGCATTTGAGAACCAAGATGCTGCACTTTATAGACGGGGAAGCTGGGGCTCAGTGAGGTTTAAATGCCTCATGGGAAAGATAGATTCTGGATTCAAACCCAGGCCCATCTGAACAAATGGCCCTCCTCATGTCCCACACTCAACTATCCTACCCTCTCCTGTGTATCATCAATTCATTAAAGAGGACAAGCAGTTTCAGCCCTAACCTGAATCTGGCCAAATGTGGGTTTGCTTTTTTCTCCGTCTTTGTTTTAGTTTGGTTTTTCCAGCCCACATAGTTTAAATAAAAATTCAATTAGTTGCCAACATTCTAAAATTACTGATTTCATGGTTTCTCATGAAAACTGGGATTTTTCCGAAAACTCACAAAATGTGTCAATGGTGGGGCCTGCAAATCTCTGTGGCCACAGAGACCTCTAATGCTGGATGCCGAAGCCATTACACCCTTGGAGGGGTACTCATCCCCCTACTACCGCTGAGACACGGAAGCCAAGGCCTCAGTACCATTTATCACTCACACACTATTAGTTTTCAAATCCACACCTTTCTCAATAGCAGCCAAGGGAACAAAAGATGAGTCATGGGGCACAGCATCAGGCCATGCGCATGCCCAGCAAGTGTATGCAACAAAGTAGGAAGTGTGTCTGTGCCCAAGCCAAGCTAAGCTATGCTCTTGTCAAGCCCTGCCTGGCCCCTGGAAGCCATCACATTTGGGACCTTTGCACTGGGCACTGCCCACCCAGGCCACCCTGGTGGACTCCACTTTGACCACTTACCAAGGGCCCCTGGGGACCAAAGAATGGTGACTGCCACTTGGTCGTGGCAAGCATATTGACTGATAGTGATGTTCTGGGCGTCAGCAATTACGTGCTTCCCCACCAGATTCAAGTAAGTGGTGCAGTCTAGAGAGTTGGGAGAACAAGAACAGTTAAGTTTAAATTTTTATTATTATTTTATTTATTTATTTATTTTTTAAAGATTTTATTTGTTTATTTTTTCCCCCCAAAGCCCCAGTAGATAGTTGTATGTCATAGCTGCACATCCTTCTAGTTGCTGTATGTGGGACGCGGACTCAGCATGGCCGGAGAAGCGGTGCGTTGGTGCGCGCCCAGGATCCCAACCTGGGCCGCCAGCAGCGGAGCACACGCACTTAACCGCTAAGCCACTGGGCCGGCCCTAAATTTTTATTTTTTATTTTCAAGTTCATCTTCTCAAATTACACAGAGCACATCTGGAGGTGGCCAAATCCATTCTCTTTAAAGACTTTTGCCTCAAAAGCCCAAATATGACATCAAAGGTTGACTGGAGAACTATTAAGATGCTGCAGTGGAATTTATTTATAGCATCACCATTACCACCCACCCCTTGAGTGAAATTCCAGGACAGCATTAGGAGGATCATATACAGTCTGGAGTTTGTGTATCTGGCATTAACTTTTTTTCTATTACAACATTTTACCTACATCAATAATTACTTACATCAATTCAATCATTTTTCAGCATTAGAGAATGATTTGAAACAAGGCAATGGCTAAATAATCTGGGATCTATTTGTTTTTAGAAGAAACCTACAGGGCAAGGTGACTGGGGAAAAGGAACTAATATGGGGATGTGAACGCACTGGGGAGTGACTCACAGCAAGATCGTTAAGACAATCTAGTTGGTACCTGCAAAAGGTACTAACCGACTCAGTGATAAGCAAAGCACCTTCAAGGTTAACTAGCATCATCAAAGGTAAGACTTTTGTTCCAAACACGATGTGTCATCAAAGACACCCACAACACCCACCAAATCCAGAGTGTCCCGCATTGCTCAAAAAATGAACACCACAGATTCTTTGATTTTGTCTGAGGGTGTTACTCACCGCCACCTGTCAACGCAGCCACGACCATACGAGCAGCTGGTATTGCTAAATACACCTTTAAAGTCTGCAAGATCCTAAAAGGCTGCCAAAAGCTTCCAGCCAGACTCGGGCTGGGACTTCAGAGAATGGCCGCGGGCCGTTCCGGCCACTTGTGCAGGGAGAACCACCAGCCATCCCTGGCAGAGACCAACTCATATTTCTTATGCTGCTTCATCTCCATTTCTTTCTCAATGATTAAACTTGAAAACCCTCTTGAGTATCTGCTGCAAAAACTCTTCATTTCCATCAAATGCCCAAATCCCACCACCACCCATCTGAAGTCAGGGTGTTTTTCTTTTTGTTGTTGTTGTTTGTTTTGTTGTTGTTTTGTTTTTGTTTTTCTTTTTTTGTGAGGAAGATCAGCCCTGAGCTAACATCCGTGCTAATCCTCCTCTTTTTGCTGAGGAAGACCAGCTCTGAGCTAACATCTATTGCCAATCCTTCTCCTATTTTTTTTTCCCCCAAAGCCCCAGTAGATAGTTGTATGTCATAGTTGCACATCCTTCTAGTTGCTGTGTGGGACACGGCCTCAGCATGGCCAGAGAAGTGGTGCGTGGAGAAGCGGTGCGTGGAGAAAGCAGTGCGTCGGTGCACGCCCGGGATCCGAACACGGGCCACCAGTAGCAGAGCGAGGGCACTTAACCGCTGAGCCACGGGGCCGGCCCAGAGTGTTTTTCTTTGAGATGAAGCATTCAGGGGTGTTTTCTAAGCAGCTTAGTGAGTCTTCTGCATTTTTTCCCCTGTAAACTGTACCACACATTTCCCATTTTTATGACTAAAAGCGTTCACTAGATATTTGCAAATCACAAAAGAATATAAGAAAAATGTACAAGTCATCCATAACCTCCGACGACAAAGAAGTAACTGCTAACATCTAACGGATACCCTTCCAAGCCTCTTAACGTGCTCCTTTTTAAATTCCTTATTAAACTATAGCGCACAGGCACTGAAATGCACCCCTGTTTTAAAACTTCATCCTCCACACTCCTTTGTGTCCTGCTTTCTTGCCCAACTCCATTAGGCCGACTCCCCTTTGTCAACTCCATCTGCTTCAAAAACAGCCACCTCTACACTTCAATATTACTTCCTTTGAAAAGATGTTAATAATTAATAAAATTGAATTCTACTTCTGATGAAAATTCACTTGCAAAGCATTCAACATGTGTTCTCTGGGTGAAGGGAATTTTAGAATAGGAAAAAAAATTTTTTTAAACATCTGGTTTAACACCCACATTGAACAAATGAGGAAGCTGCAGCTGGAGGGATGAGCCGGGTGGCTTAGAATTCGCCCACTGACCAGCCCAGAGGCGGGACAGAAAGCAGCCTCAGGTGCTCTCGCAGGGCTCCGGCCACTCTGTCCTCAGCACAGAGCTCATTACCAAAATAGTTCTGAATCAGAGAATTCAGTCTGCAAAAATCCTAGCTGAGACCAGCTTCCCAATAGAAAAAAGACAAGATTCCATCATACCCGTGAAGTTCAAATATTTTCCTTTATTGAGGTCTCTAATGAAAGAGAAACCTTTGAATTAACCAGCTTTAGGAAAAGACGCAGGAACAAGGGCAAATCATGCTTTTTCTCTTTGTTTATTCCTAATGCCAAAATTAGCACTCTCTGGGTGTCTGTAAATACAATTATGCAAATATAAAGTCTAAGAATTGAGAAAATGTATTACAATCTACTCAGGCATTACCCCCTCAGAGCCTGAAGAAGAAACGAGAAATACAACCTGAAAGGAAGCAAGAAGACCTGCGAAATCCGGTTTTAACTTAACGGCAAGACATTTTCTTTCTTTGTAACATTAAATGGCAAAGGAACAGAAAAATAAGATTTTGTAGTTTAATATTTTTGGTGAAAACTTGGTAATTGATTCTTAGCTATTTCAAACAGAACTAGTAACCAGTCAACGAGCCAGTAACAGGAACTTCCTTGTGGAAGAGAGAAATATCTTTTTCAATGGAAAACAATGAGGAAGTTTTTTATACAGCCTGGATCCAATTATTAGCAATGCCAAGCTTTTGGATTCTGGTTACAAAAAAATTGTGCCCAAATGACATTTTGCCAAAATGCAACCGAGCTTCAGATGTCTCAGGAGCCAATTTGAGTTGTGAATTAAATTCTAATTAAATGCTGAAGAATTAGAAAGAAAATAATGACTAAGAGACAGGCATTGGCATGTGGGCCAAATATCTAGTCTCATGAAGAAAACAGTAAGATACTTTTAAGTTTTACAGGTATAGATCCTCTTTCACAAAATCCCATATTAAATTAGAGATGCAAATACTTGTTTGCAGCTGACCGGAAAATTTTGAACTCTTGAATGTAATACAAGACCTGCCAGGACCAAGAACATATATTAGAAATTAACTTTCTAACTCAAAGAAAGATCCCTTACACATGTCTTTACTTAGCTGAATTAAGTATCATGGACTCGCAAATCTTTCATTAACATCACAGCATTTACCCAGAACATGCACACACCACTAACGTGACATATCTGAGTTCCAGATCTAAGTCCTCATGGGCTAACTTCAAGTACCCACATCAGCAACTGTGGGTGTGAATTTTACACACATATTTGTATCTTAAAATTGTTAGATTGTGTACACAACCTCAAAAACCCTGCTTCAGTAGGGATCGTTCCAGACACCTCAATGTGACCAACACCCCTTACTCACAAGGACTCATACCCTCTCCAAGAGATGAGTTGAATGTCAGGAGTCACTAAATATGAGTCAAGCTCCTTCTCATCAATATTTTACTTACAAATTATGGCTCATAAGGTTAAAATGCTCACAATTCTACGTAATTACCTTCTTAGGCATGAAAGTAGATGCTTAGATGGGGTTCTACATGCTTAATCAGAAAAATCACCCCCACCTGCCCTTAGAAAACAATTCAGCCAGAAAAGCCATACAGCCTTGAGAGAAAGGCCAAAAAGGGCTTGTATTCCAGCTCCAGTTGGAATGACTTCTAATATTAACAGATATCAATTACCGAGTGCACACCACAGGCCAGCTCCCAAGTTGAGCAGTTATAAGCATTACCTGATTTAAACCTCAAAATGATGCTGAGGAAGAAACTAATCTTTATTTTACATGGTGAGTAAACCAAGGCTTGGAGAAGTCAAGTCACTTGCCACCGTTCACAGCTGATAGGTAGGGAACCAGGGTTGGAACCCAGGCCAAAGTCAGAGACGGCCAACTGGAGACTCCTGGGCCAATCTGGGATACAGATTCACTTGGCCCACTCTGCGATTGTGAAAATTTTTAAATAAAGGCCAATATTAAAAAATGTTCATAGCAAAAAATGCAAATTTCCCACTCTTCTGGGAAATTTCATCTGGCTCTGTTCAGGGGGAATTCCTCAAGGCCACAATGAGTTGGAATGGAGAAGCCAGTGCTCCTTCCAGACCAGACATAGGTTATCCAGTTTGCACAGTCTCAACCATTCCCTAGCATCCTGCACTTGGGCACTTCGCTCATCTGTCCCCTGCTGGGCCCTACAGGCATCTATCGGTGTTTGTTCTTAAGGACACGGCTATGTCCTAAGGAAATTAGGGGAGGTCTCCACATACAACTTTTCTGAACAGTATGGAGGACATTTGATCTCTTCAAGCTCCCAAATACTTGAGTGGCTTAATTGAGACTGAGCTTTAGCTCTGCTGACAAACTTGAGCAGGTTCAGAAAATTCCTCCACCCCAGGACCTACAGTGTCCCTGATTAAGCACGACTGTGCAAGCTTTAGATCTCTGGAAGGGCTCCATTCTTCAGCGGTCAAGCCAGTTACTTACTGTCATATCTGAAGGTGATGTTGTGCAGCCCGCTGTTCCTGCTGGCCGGCCCCACGCCCTGTGAGAAAACAAGAAAACATGATGAGGAGTAAAGCCAATTTGCTTTTGCAGCACAGATCCCCATGGAGTCAACACACATATGATTGCATAGCCCCAGGGTCATGCCAGTCACTGAGCAACGTCCATGCTCTCTCCATGAGCTCCCTGCTCACCCCTGCCCCCTGCGCCCCTCCACCTGCCAACTCCCTCCAGCCTAGGAGATTCCTAACTGCCAGGCTACGGGGATCATGAGCACTCACTTCCTCTAAGACAACAGGAGCAGGCTGTTCTGTGTTTGGGGGTTAAAGAATAATTCATTAACAGTAAAATTGGGAGAGAGACCATGAGCTGCCAGCTGGAGCCCTTCCAGTTGGATCCGCTTTGAGCACTGATTGGTTATAAAATTCGCCTACCAGACACTCTCGCCCAAAAGCTCTATTAAGCCACAACAGATAGGCAATTCCTCAAGTCTAAGGAAACACGTTTCTCATTCCAAGACTGGGAATGAGTGTGGCAATAAGCCATTACTTTTAATGAGAAAATTCTTCACTGCATCTATACCTATGCTTGGAATATATAGGGTGGGTCATAAAAGAAAAAGAAAAAAGACTTTAAAAGGTCTAACTCTAACTCTTGGTGATATGGCCGTTAACCAGCTGCACTCTTAATAGCAGGGATAACAACTCCGCCAGACTTCCCACTTTAATTACAGCATCCACAGAGGGAGGCCCGGAACCCTCCCGTCGGCCCCGCCTTTTCCTAACCCACCACTTGTCCATCATGGGAAAGAGCAGCTATAGATCTACAGACTCCGGTTTAACTGTTTCTGTAATAATCTGCAAATGTGCCATTCAGCATTAATTGCAGAATTCTCCAGAATACGTTAATTCTGAAATACTAAATGATGGGAAAATATTCTAACCACACAGCTAAAGTTTCCACTCAACAAGGGGGATGTTGGGGAAAACCATATGCTGGCGGCCTGGTATTTAATGGGCAATTGTTACACTGAGACACAGTCTGCAGATCACTTCTGACGTAGCCCAGGGTCTCAGGCCACAACCCCAGCACATCCATATGCTACAGGCATGTTCATGCTGCTTAGCCTGAAGCCAGGCACACCCACTGAAACTGTATCCCTGAGCTCAGATAAACATGGACCTTGGGAAAGCACAGCTGTGCAGAAAGAGACGGGGAGACACACAAATGCACGCACTCACACACACACACACCCCATTCTTATTGAAGTGAAGAATAAGCAGTAACAGAAAATCTAAATCAACATGGTGCACCAGCCCATGATCCACTGGGGCTCCCCTTCTTCCTGGTTCACCTTCTTCCTCCAGCTCTCCTCCTTCCATCCTCCCTTCCCCAAGTACACAAGATTCCAGAATTCCTCACCTGAACTGAAACACTTTGGAAAGTGTTGTTACCTTATTAAAATCCTAAACATCTTCATAACTCCTTAGGGACGAGGCCACAGTCTGTGCAACCAAAGGAGGCTGAACTTCCAGATGTCCAGGACCAGAGTAACATGACCAGACAGGAGACCAGGCAGGAGACAGTGCAAGTCCCCCCACAACCCTTCAGTAACGCCCAAGACACCCAAGTCACACCCTTCTCCTCCCTTACAAACCCCAGAGATAAATTCACTCATCACCTATTATAAGCCAAACATTATGCCAGGTACAGTGGTGAACAAAACAGCCACTGTCCCTGCCTTCAGGAGCGAAGTAGCTCATTCTTTCAAAGAGTAACTGGGTATGTGGATCACATGCAGGACATACAGACAAATCTCAAATCACACCCCGGCCCTCCCAGGACTCTCAGTGTAGATGGCACACAAGGTCTACGGAGCCGGGGTGCAAGAGCCAGCCATAAATAAGCATACAGTATACGAACTGCCAGAGGCAGCACCTCAGTAAGGATGAACCAAGGGTAAGGATGACATGTACCAGAAGCTTAAAAGAGGGAAGGATAACTGGGCTGGAATGGAGAGGAAAAGGGAGTGTCACAGGAGGGAAACAAAAACACAATCTAGGGGCCAAGGTAAGTACCTTAATGCTTCCATCCTCCAGCTGGACCACGGGCAAACCACTTCACTCCACTGGGTCCGAGTCTCCTCAATCGCTTAAAAAGATAATTTGCACTACTTTCCTCTGGGAAGGGTGTTTGAGGAGGACCACGTGAAGCCATGTAGAGGAAGCATTTATCAAAAAGGAAATGCATGCTCTGAGGTGCGTAGGACTCTGGAGACCCATCACCCTACTTGTAGGACTTCATTGGCTTTTCATTTTATTCTTACGTTCCCTATATTTCTATTGCATCATGTATTAACAGGTATTTATTGGGCACTTGCAATGAGCAATGCATTGTGGAAAGGAGCCCAAGACAGTGTGAGATGTGCTATATCATGCAAGCAAGAACCTAAATCCCTCCAAGTTAGGTCTCTGTGATGTGTCTGGAGCTGTTCTGAGGGAGACCCAGTGAGCTGGCTCTAAAGGACAGTGAGGTTTGCATGCAGCATCCACTCACTACCCACTGAGCATTCCGCCTTGACCCAGGCCCCACAGGGCTGGGCACTGGGCCATGAACTAGACGCGGGTCCTGACCTCAAAGGGCCTTGGCCACCAAGGCGATCTCCTAATGTGCAAATCTGCCCCCACTCTTCTGCACCAAGCCCACTACTGGCTCCCTGTCCCTCCCAGACTGTTCCTGACGTGGCAGCTCCACCTACCTTCTCAGCCACTCCCCTCCCCACCTTCAAAACCCCTCCAGGCACCACAGCTCAGCACGTGTTCTCCAGCACTTCCATATTCCCAGAATGCCCTTCCCATCACCACATCCTGCTGCCCCACCCCATGGGCTTACTGCCTTAGTGTAGCACCATCACACTGTGTTCCTGACACATCAGTCTGCCTGCATACTCACTTGATGGGAGCACAGTAAATCTGTCCCCACGCTTTGACTGGCATAGCACTTCTGCTGATGTAGATACAAAATGGTAATTCTAATTCCACAGAAAATCAGAGACCAAAAGACCCTGTGACCATCCAAGCTGGTCATGGAACTCAGAAGCAAGAGATACCATTGCAGGCACCAGCTCTTGTGTACACTGTAAAGAGCTTCACTCTCGGGGCGCAGAGTGCATGGCTTCTCAGCACATGCATCAGACAGATGTTCCACCGGGCTGTCCTCGGCTCACACCCAAATAATGCTTCAGCTGCTCCAGAGCCCTCAAAAACCACCTGGGAAACAGTGTGCCCAGGCTAGCTCACAGAGCACTACTGTTTTCTTTATACTTGGTAGTAGACAGAATAACAGCCCCCTCAACATGTCCACATCGTAATCCCCAGAACATGTGAATGATATTTTCATAGCGAAATAGACTACACAGATGTGATTAAGTTTAAGGATCCTGAGATAGGGAGAGAGTAGTCTAGATTATCCAGGTGAGCCCAATGTAATCACACGGGTCCTTATGAGATGGAGACAGAAGGGTCAGAGTCAGGCAGGGAGATGTGACAATGGAAGCAGAAGGCAGAGAGAGACAGACAAACATTGATTTAAAGATGTTATGCTACTGGGTTTGGAGATGGAGGAAGAAGAGGCTAATAAGCCAAGGAATGTAGGTGGCCTCTAGATGCTGAAAGAGGCAAGGAATGGATTCTCCCCTAGAGCCTCCAGAAGGAGCCAGCCCTGCCAATACCTTGAATTTAGCCCCATAAGACTCATTTTGGAATTCTGACTTTAAGAACTATAAAATAAATCTTATAAAGATTAAAGATTAAATTAATTAGTCAATTGATTAATTAAATTATTAATCTTATAAAGATTAAAGTAGTGCTGTTTTAAACCACTAAATCTGTGGTAATTCATTGCAGCAGCAATTGAAAGCTAATACACATACAATTTCAGCTGCAACATGGATGAAATAGATCTCAATGTCACACTCGGCATGTGCTGTCATTCCCCCCCTCCCACACACACAGCAGACTGGTCACTTGTCACCACACTCTCCCCGGGCTTCAGGCAGACACAGAAGACTGATCCATCAGAGCTGCTGCCTGAGATTTTGCCATCCTAGATATAGGCTTCTGTGGGCTGGCCTGGGGCTTACCCGAAATAGAAGAATGGTTAACAGAATGGGCTTTGGAGTTGCATAGACGTATGTTCAAATTTCCCACTTTCCAGCTGTGTGACCTTGGGCAAGCTTCTAAACCTTCCTGAGCCTCATTTCTCCAAGCTATATAGTATCTGAATGAAACTTCCTGGGAAGGATAGGTGTGGGGACTATGTGAGATGACATATATCAAGTGCTTTGCCCAGCATCTGACACATACTGAAACAGCTATTTCACACTCAGAGATGGTTATGTCACTGTTCCTGAGAAGATCCCAGCCCTAATAAACAAGGTGAGAGCTATGCTACAAAAGGAATGTATTCTGCTGATGGTCTTAGTGGGAACTGGGCGACCCAGTGACTCTGTCTCTGAGAAGTGCTCAGGTTGGACCAGATGAGGAGAGACTGAATGCAAAGAGACCAGGGCAGCCCTCTACTTCCTATCCCACAACGCTCCCCCCACAGTCCGGGGCCTGGCACATAGTCAGCCCTTGATAAACATTAGTTTTCTGTCTGAATGAATGAATGACTGCATGATTAAGCCAGGAATACACACAGAGAACCCAGGAGGACCTAGCTTGGTGTGACAGGGTGATTTTGGAGCTTCGAATCAGGGCCCACACTAAGAGAACACAGATAAGGCAACTTACAAAGCTAGTCAATGGCTTCAGAAGCTGTTCTTCAGGAAACAATTCCAAGCTTTTCGCTATTACACCGTTTGATATTTAATGAGCTGACAATTAAGGATACTCATTTGTTGCCTGTTACTTAAAAACTATAAATGTCAATGCTGTGGCCTCAGGGTGTCACATTCTTAGTTAATTAACTACCCCCATTTGCTGTGCTAACGGCAGCTTTTAATCTGTTCCAATGTGAGCTAAGCGAGTCTGGAGCTCG